ACATTGGCATGCTGTTAACCGAGTACTTAGGTACTTAAGGAAAACAATAGACTATGGAATAGTCTATAATGGCTATCCAACAGTGCTAGAAGGATTCACGAATGCTAGTTGGATAACTGACCGTGAAGATCACTCATCCACGAGTGGTTAAATTTTTACTCTTGGAGGAGGAGCTATCTCCTGGGGTTCTAAGAAGCAAACATGCATAATAGACTCAACCATGGCGTCAGAGTTTACAGCATTGGCTTCTTGTAGCAAAGAGGCAGAGTGGTTAAGGAATCTCTTGTTAGAGATTAAGATATGGCCAAAACCTATGCCACTAATATCTTTGCATTGTGATAGTGAAGCAACTCTATCACGGGCCTATAGCCATGTCTATAATGGAAAGTCCAGGCATATAGGACTGAGACATATATAGCTGTGTTAGGCAGTTAATCACGGAAGGTGTGATTACCATTAGTTATGTAAAGTCGAGCGAAAACTTGGCTGACCCCTTAACAAAGGGACTTACAAGGGATTTGGTGTGGAAAACATCAAAGGGGATGGATCTTAAGCCCACTTAACATAATCACTCCTGGTGGAAACTCAACTCAACGCTTGAAGAAACATCAAGTCTTAAGTTCAATGAGTCCAAGTACACCATATATTGTGATTGCAAGCACTTAGTTTTATTTCATTTTCATCCCAAGGTTGAAGTGCTTGGTACCTGTAATGTGAAAAGAAAAGGATGAGTTAGAAAACTCTTAATAAGCTTACAACTAAGTTGTTAGGATACTGTAAATTACAGGGGTACTCTTAGTAAGCTCATCTATGTGAGTGAAAGAGGTGCTGCCGCTTCCTATGAGTCTAAGGGCTTGACTCTAGAGCGCTCATGAAATAGGATACAGACACAAGGCCAATCCACGTGTCGGTTTGTTTGAATACTTGAGGTAACCTGTACTATGTGTGAGACATGTCCAGTTAGTCGAATAAGATCGCTAGTTCAAAGACAAGTCTACTATGCCATCTTGACTAACTTTGAGATGTCTTCACTAAGTAAATGATTCAAATTGTAAGATATCTTCACCTATGCATAAGGCTGCCAAGTGAACCAAGAATCATCATCTGATATTTTGAAAATGGTGGGGGAATGTTAGGGAATTTTCAAAATGAGTTTCAAATTTGTAGTTTATTTTTGGGTGTTTTCAAAACCTTCCATGTTTTTCTTTGGAAAGCATGAAATAAGCTTGGGGCTTTGTCCTACATCGAAAAGAGAGAAAAACATGGAGCACTTAATAAAGTGTTACATGGAATATTCCTTTGAATATGGAATTGTGAGGTGAAAGCTAGTGTGCATGCATCCACATCGCAAAGATGGTGCTTCGCACCATCCGCACATGCACACACACGCACGCGCAGGCGTGTCGTAGGCAGTGGGATGTGTGGCATTTGATGGCACACTTTGCACTTGCACTTAGCACAGACACATTGGCACAAGGCGCCATGAGGGTGCTTTCTTATTTACATCGGACAGGTTGAAGCGATGACGTGGATCCAATGTGCCATGGGTGACGTGGAATATAGTTAGCTCTACGTGGCAGTGACGTGTCGTCCATTGGCAATGAGTCAACCAATCGATCAAACGGTTATGTGTCTGATCTGGAGCGGGTTGATCATAGCCATTGATTGGAGATGCGCACGATCATACTTATGAGATGGCACCCCATCGTGATCAGGTGTGATTAGTCAAGGCATCTATTCGGTGTGAGAATTATCTGCACCGTAGATCGTCGATCCAACGGTCAAATATGATTTGATGCGATCAAGGGACATGACCATTCGATCAAGTGCATCAAGGCCTATAAATAGGCTGCGAAATCAGTCATTTCATTCCATTCAAAAATTTAGTATTTATTCCTGCAATTCTCTCTCTTCCTCTCTCCCTCTTGATTTAGAGTTTTCAATCAAGAGTTTCTTAAGCAAATTTCTGCTTTTCTTACTGCTAATCAAGTTCTGCAAATTTGATTATTAATGTCTTGGTTTTCTTAATTATATCAAGAGTATTCTGATCTACTGTTGTCAGTGCAGACGCCAGTATATTTGATCTTTAGATCAGGCTTCATTGTATCGTGGAAGTAAATTTGTTGTAACCCCTGCACACCTTTTGATGGGTGTAAATATTGTCTTTAGGAAAGCGACTTAGTAATGCGACTTGAAGCACCAAATTTCTATCCTACATAGACAAGATTATCACCAAGTTTTGAAGACCCGAAGACCACCAACTGAAAAATTCAAGATAATTTGTTCCAATAGATTTTAGCGCACACAATAATAATACAAAGAAACTTTTAAAATGAGATAGAGAAATCTTAATAAATACACCAAGAATGAGGCACACACGCAAGTAAGGTGATTCAAATCACTATCCTCCTAATAAGACATAAATTTTGGCTAAATGAACCAGCCCGGTTGATTTTGATGGGATTAGTCTTGTACATTATTTCGTTCTTCTTATTACATCAACAAATTTATTTATTTATTTACAGATTAAAAAGAAAATATATCGATTTATAGCTTTGGGAATGACTAATAGAGTATTGGTAAAATAGATTGTTAAAATTTAATCGAGGCTTTTTTTTTTTTTTTGGCTTACCATTTTCAAGAACTTCATTACTAACTAGTTTTTTTACCCTTGTTATGAAGGAGTTGTGTTAGAATGTTTTTAAATAAAAGAGTAATATAAATAATTACAAATAATATTAATTAAAAATTAAGAAATTGTGGAAATATAGTAAGATAATCATACAACAAAATTATAAAAGTTCTTCCAAGTTTTTAAAAAAAAAATTATCAAAACTGTAAAAAATAAAACCTATAAAAAATAGTTTAAATTACAATTTATACTCTCAGTTAAAACGAGAAAACAAAAAAATTGTAGAAGAATTGTACAAAATCTAGACAAATAATTTAAAATATTCAGTATCTATTAAATATAAAAAAAAAATTGCAAATCATTTTAAATAGACATCAACCATAATTAAATTGAGTTTGCAAAAAATATTGTATTAGTAGGTTCCAAAGAATCTCTCTCCCTCTCTCTCTCTCTCTCTCTCTCTCTCAGTATCACATATGTAAAGACTCAGACCAACATAAACTTAAAAAAGCTTTTCATCAAATTTATAAAGGAATTAGTTTCATAATACATGCGAATAGAAAATATTAGTTTATTGTTAAAAAAATGTGTTCATCAAATTTATAAAGGAATTAAGTTTTATAATGTATGCAGATAGAAAATGTAAGTTCATTGTTATTACAGTTCATAGGTTTGCATGCAAGTAAGAAATCAGAACAACAACTTAATTTAATATTGATACAAAATTGCAATGATAAAAACACAATTTATTACACCATTTTAGTGTATTTTCAAAATTCTTTTGGTTTTCATTTTTATATTTGATTTTATCATTCTTGCTATAAAAAATGAGTGAAAGTTTACAAATACTAATGTTTTGTACCAATTTCATTTTTTAATTCAATCCTTTTTTTACAACTCTGAACATAGTTTAAAATTATTTGAAAACAATATATTTTGCTAAAATAATTCCACAAATGCATTTTAGGCATTGTTTTGATATTTTTTTGTGTCTTCAATAAAAGAAAATAATTTTTCAAATGATACCAAATGGATCCATTTTTTTTAATGTCCCTTTTTTTTTATACTCGTATTTAAAAATTTTAAGTTACAATTTCCCTATAAAACGTATAAAAATACCCAAAAAATACACTATAATTTTTATAAAATATTAAATTCTGATTTTGTGTATATATAATGAGTACTCTATAAAATATAAGAAAAATACCATTAACAACTTACAAAATAGATATGGAAGAGAACTTAGCTTTATTGACTTGAATAATAAATAAATAAAATATTAAAAATGAGTAAAGCAGCAAAATAATAATAACAATAATAATAAAGAACATATAATATATGTGCACCCCAAAAAAAAAAAATTAGAGAGAGAGGACCAAATGAATAGTGTATTTTATTTGTAAAGATCAAAATTATAAATAAAATAAAATAAAAAGAAAAGAGCAGGCGATAATTACTTTACTAATGAAATTCTTTTATCTCCCACATATATTCTTGTAGAAATTTAATGTATAAAGAGAAATAGAGAATTGTATTGTTGATTGATATAATGTTATTATATTCTCATATATTTATATTCCACTAAATGAATAAGTACATATAAATAAAAGAAAATGATTATAAATGAACATATTTAATAAACAAACTTAAAAGAAAATCAAAAGACAATAAAAATAAAATAAAATAAATAGAAAGACGCATGACCATTGGTCAGGACATGGAATCCGCTGGACTATTTGAGCCATTCTCGGAAGGGGAAATTTGGATAGTTGTTAAGGAAAGTGATAGTAACAAGGCGCCAAGACCAGATGGATTTGACATGTTGTGCTTTCAAAAATGTTGGAAGGTGTTTAAGAAGGATATCTTGAAGTTCTTCAATGAATTCTATGCTAATGGGTGTTTGGCTAAAGGTATTAACAACTCTTTCATAACACTGATTCCTAAGAAAGATTGTCCAGATGGTATTTTGGACTATAGACCAATTAGCCTTCTTGGTTCTATATATAAAATTCTTTCTAAGCTCCTAGCATCGCTGCTCAAAAAGGTGTTGTCTAAAATAGTAGGAGAATCCCAATCTGCGTTTATTGGTGATAGGAGCATTTTGAATGGGGTGTTAATTTCCAATGAAGTTGTGGATTGGTGGAAGAAGAAAAAGCAGAAGGGGTTAATCCTAAAACTGGACTTTGAGAAAGCCTACAACACTGTAAACTGGGAGTGTCTTTTTTCCATGATGACAAACTTTGGTTTTCAAAATAAATGGATCAGGTAGATAAAGGAATGTTTGCAATCATCTAGAGTTTCAATCCTTGTTAATGGCTCACCCGCTATTGAGTTTAGCCATGAAAAAAGACTAAGACAAGGGGATCCAATGTCACATTTTCTCTTTAACATTGTGGCAGAAGGGTTGAATATGTTATTCGAAAGGGCTAAAGCATTGGGGCTGATCAAAGGAGCTATTATAGGTCATGGGCAAATTATTGTCACTCATCTGCAATTTGCAGATGATACAGTGGTGTTCTGTAAGGCTAAGGAGCAGGAAGTTTTGCATGTCAAAAGAATTCTGAGGTGCTTTGAGGTGATGTTTGGCTTGAGGATCAACTTTCATAAAAGTCATGTTTGTGGGGTTGGAATACAGAAGGAGGTTTTGGCTGATTTTGCTGTGCAATTGAACTGCCAGAATCAAAAGCTGTCGTTCATGTATATGGGTTTGCCACTTGGTGCTAGCCCAAAGAAGAGGAGCACCTGGTTGCCTGTGATCAACAAATTCAAATCTAAGCTTGCTTCTTGGAAGAAAAAGTTGCTTTCTTTTGGGGGAAGGTTAACACTAATCAAAACAGTGTTATCCTCATTACCAGTTTATTACCTCACTATATTTAAAGTACCTGTAGGTGTGGCTAAGCAGCTTGATAAAATTCAAGCCAAGTTTTTGTGGGGAGGGTCAGAAATTAAAAAGAAGCTTCATATGGTAAAATGGGAGAAGGTTACCATGAAGAAAAGTTTGGCAGGGCTGGGTATTAAAAGGTTGATGGATTTTAACGAGTGTCTTCTAGTTAAATAGTGGTGGAGATATGGAATTGAAGACAGGGTATTGTGGAAAGATATTGTGATTAGTAATTATGGCAGCTTTGATGGGAGATGGAGACCATTCTTGGCAAATGGTGCCTAGTGCTCAAAAATCTGGGGAGATGTACTTAGTTTGGAACACAGCAGCCCCAATTTGTGGAATTTTTTCAAGGATAATTCTGTCTATCAAGTTGGGAATGGGATGAGGGTTAGTTTTTGGAAGGATCCATGGGCATCTAATAGATGTTTAAAGGATGAGTTTCCCAGACTCTGTAACCTATCAACAGACAAAGAAGTTAATCTTAAACAGATGATTGACATGAGAAGTAGATCATTTGGGTGGTCCTTTAATTTTAGGAGAAGTTTGAGGGCTTGGGAGGATGATGAAGTGGAAAGATTAAGATCCTATCTTCCTTCACTTGGGCCCATTTTGTCAGATAGATATGATTATCTAGTTTGGAATGCCTCATTTTTAGGTATGTTCACTGTAAATTGAGCTTACTGTAGGAATGATGTGGGTCAAGGGTTGGGGTCAGCTAGGTGGATCTGGAACAATATTTCCCCACCAAAAGTGCAATTCTTTGGACGGCTCGCTTGGAAGGGTAGAATTAAAACAATAGCTTTTCTTCAAAGGATGGGATGCCTCAGTTAAGATGCTAGGACAGAGTGTGTTTTCTGTGGCTGTGATGTTGAAACAGACAGTCATGTATTGTTGCAGTGCCAGTTTGCTTGGAAGATATGGACAAATATTCTAAATTGGTGGGGTATGCAATGGGTGGTCCCTGAAAATGCTAAAGGTGTGATGGACTGGTCGAGAGGGATCAGATGGGGTAAGCTGGAAACTAAAATCTGGGATGTAATTCCCTTTGCTGTTCTCTGGTCCATTTGAACTATGAGAAATGACTGCATATTTAATGGCAAGCAACATATTTTGGAGGAGGCCTGCGATCTGATTAAGCTTAGAGTAGCACTGTGGATCAAAGCCATAATTACTGAGTTGCAGTACTCCATACATGATGTGGTGGAAAATTTGTAACAAGTTAGGTACTCATTACATTGAAGTCTTGAAATCTTGGAGTTTGGTATTTAGGGTGCTTGCACTAAGTTGGAACATTGTTATGACTATTATGTTGCTGCTGTGTTTGTACCTCACCAACATGGAGAGAAGGTGGAGCTATTGGAAAGTTAGAATTGCTTTATGGTTTTGTCAAATGCTAAGGGAGTGAATTACTCAGTGTATGAGATTGTGGCAAACCTGAAGCAGGTCTGATGTATGCTACTGTTGTTTGGCCTACGGGTGTATGCTATTATTTGGCCTGCTGCTGTAGGAGACTGTTCTAGTTGTTGCTTGGCCTGCTACTGTAGGAGACAGTTCTGGTCTTCCCTGCTGTTCGAAGCTCAATGGGTTAGAGCTGGTGAAGAATTATGTTGATGTTTGCTTTGGTTGTGTTGTTGGTGAAGAATTATGTTGATGTTTGCTTTGGTTGCTCTTGATTGGCTTTTCACCAATCTTGGGTCAAGTGCTTGCAAATGACACTTGGCACATTTCTAAAACTTCCTAAGAGAAAATTCTACTTTACTTATATGATTATATGATATGATGGGATGATAGAGATCTCCTAAACCTTTTGTACTCTATCTTTCTCTCCCTCATTTTTTTTTTTTTGGAATTCCATTAAAAAATAGCCTTTTATAGAAATGAAGTATTTAGACCCAAAGGAAGAGAATTTCTCTGGTCTATAATTTGGATTGGACAATATTGTTTGGGTCTGTGGAGTCCATCAATGAACCTATTTCGATAATCTCCGAACCGTTTTATTGAGCACTATGTGTGTTTCATTCACACACACACACAAAAAATAAAAAATATAAAATAAAATAAATCGATCCGATAATCATAATCTACTCACTTTATCACGTTTGTCACTAAAAAATGAATAGCATATTCAAGTCACTTTAGTACTAATGTAAATCTAGCCTTTTATGGAAATGAAGGATTTAGACACAAAATTGTTATGGAGATTAAGAAAATTTATTACGAATCTTATCTTAAAAATGTGGTGTAGATTTAAAATTAATAGGATGTAGGTCACACCAATAATAAATGTAAACCATTGATTTAATTTTCTAAATATTTTTTCTGAAGTGTAATAGTGTTGATTTAGACCACATCTCAAAAAATTCTTGATGAGTTCAAAGGTTAATAAGTCCTCTGGCAAAGGTTTTTGTGTCAACACTTGGCCTCTTAATGCAACCCTCATCCTTTGATCAAATTATCAACTGGTGTTTTGAAAACATTTTGAAGACTATAGCTAAGCAGTTTAATGTTTGAATTGAACCATTATAATCAATGAATGGATTGATTCTGACACCATATATATTATTTCATACTGAACACAACTATATTAATGTAAAAGACTTGTGCAACTTTACTAAAAGCAATAAGCCAATTGGCTTTTCACAACCAATTGGAATAAGATAGACTTCAAGACATAAGTATTCCAAAATACTTTATTCCATCGAACTAAAAGCCTTGTTTGCTATAATCTAAAATAGTTAAAAAGTCACTATCCTATTTAACTCACATCATCTTATTTAAATCATACCATCTCTCTGCTACATCACTTTAAACCTAATACATACCCAATCTATATTTTATAAAAAAGTCAAAAAAGTACACTTATTTAGATTATTCCAAACCAGCATGTAATCTATATGGCCATGGATATGGAGTTGTTCCCTTGAAAATGTAAATCCATTAGTCTATGTAAACCCATAAATTAAGGACATTATGACCTTGACCTATGTGGTAGAGAGACGTACATAGAGAGAGACTAATGGACACATATTTTTAAACAAATTGAAACAAATTTGAATGTATCTTTGTTAATTAGAGCCCTTTGAATGCTCGTTGATTCTAAGCCGTGAGAGGAGAGACTTCTGAGCCTAACATGCCAAATTCAGACTCTATGACAGGCTGTAAAGTCTATGTAAAATTCTCATTGGTATAAATGTGTAACACATGCATAATCGGTTATAATATTGCATTATGCAAACTGGCCAGAAAATATAATATACAATTATAAAATAGGTCTTATGTTTTTCATATGTTAGGATGCAAAGAGCGGGCCTCTATATATAAGATTTTTAACATGTGTCCCATTGAGTTGTATCTTTCACATTAAAAATAATTTTTTTAAGGGTTGTATTATATGCATCAATTGATAAATTAAGTAATGTACCAACATATGTTATAACATTATTACTGACTCCACCCATTATACAAATTATAAATACACAAAACTTCTAAAATTATATCACATTATCTATTACTACACTAATTGATATATTAATTGATGCATATAATATTATTATTTTTTTTCATGTAAATTTTAAAACTTTAAAATTATGTAGCAACAGTTGTTCAAAACAAGTCAAATAAAAAATAAACATTGACCAATTGTAATGTTGTAGGAGCATCACCCGGTGGGGCAACAACTAATAATTTTTCGAGAGTGTAATAATTTTAAATAATAATTTACCGTTATGTGTATTACTTAATAAAATTAATTCAAAATATATTTTATTGCTTAACAATAGGATTAATTGGTAAAAAGTTCATACTTATATATATTATTTGGTCTAATCTTATTTGGTAATAAAGACACGTTTAAAAGTAGTTAGAAAAGTCATCATCATTGGAAAAATTAATAAAACAAATTGACAACAAAGGTCGCCGACAGATGCTGGTCGATGGTGGCTAGTGGTGGTGGCTAGTGGCAATGAAGTGGACAGATATGTGATACTGGACAAATAATTGAATATATAGGTAACATGTGTTTAGATAGGTGACATTTGGACAAATAGTTGAATAGATCGGTGACACATGTATAGATAAGTGACATTTAGACAAATAAACATGTATGTTATATTTGGACAAATAAACAAATAGGTAAGCTTTGTTGGAAATGGTTTTGTGAAATAAAAACTTTGGCTAACTTTGAAGTAAATTAAAGGTGAATCCCATTCAATATTTTTTGATGGATTTGAGTGGTGAAATCATTTACAAAATCATTTACAAATAATTTGGAAATTGACTCTAAAGTGAGCTTCGTGAAAATGGAGTTTTGGTACGTTATACATTATTGAAATAGGCTTGTCCCACATAGAAAAGATAAGAGAACTTATGTGTATATATAAGTTTGAAGTTCGAGATTTTAGTTTGGGCCCTTAGGGTGCCTAGTTTTTATAAGGTGGAAGTTATAGACAAATGGGCTTGGACTCAAATTATCACACACCCACACAACCGAGCTCTAGCATAGGTGTGAGTTGTGGATCAGATCAATTCATATTATATTTTTGGACAAAATTCATTTTAATTTTTTAAGTCTTTTGCTCGAAATTCAAATTAATTTCATTTGAGTCAAAATTTTGAATTTAAATTTGAATTATGTCTCTTTCTTCCAATCAGTGTTTTTCTGACCAACTACGATTTGCAATCACATCTTTTCGACCAACTCCGAACAGCCACCAAAGAGGCTACAAATAGCCTCTCTATTCCTACAATTTCTTCATCCAATTTTTGAATTCTTTCCTTCTTCTATGCTCTCTTCTACTTCTACATTTTCTACATAAATTAGAGTTTAGGATTTGCTAAGAGAGAGAGAGAGAGTTTCAACACTGATTTGGTTTGTCAGACTTTAAATTGTAGTGTTGCAGTGTTAGTCATTGCATTTTGAAAAACTGAGGCCAATCAAAACTCAAAGTATTAGAGCGAGAGTGAAATCTATTTAAAGAGATTCTATCCACTACAAGCCTTGACTTCCAATTTTTGCATTATGGAAGAATTCTGCTAAAGCTCTGGAAGATTTAATTTATAGATTTTAATTTATAAAAGTATTTTTTAAAATTTTATTTTCACTGCAGGAAAATTATTTTTAGCGGCGTTTCAGAAACGCCGCTATAGGCTTCAAAAACACTGTCATAAGTTGTAGCAACGTTTAATATTTGTGTCGTTAATACGGCCGCCGTAATAACTTTACAACATTTTAAAAACGTCGCGAAAAAAACTAAGTGGCATTTTAAAAAACATCACGAAAAATTTGGCGTCCGCTTTCTTTCCATCACAAAATAACTTATGACATCATGATGACGTCATTTAGTAGCTTTTTTTCTGGAAGCTAGCATAACACAGCCAAAGAATGATGCCGTCATTTAGTGGCTTTTTTTTAAAAACGCTACTTTTTTTTTATTTTTTATAACAGACTATTAACCAAAGAATTTAACTAATTTCTCCACAAAAAAAAAAAAAAGAGAATTTAGTGGCAGCTTGAGAATTTAACTAAAAACACAAATGGCTCAAATTTACATATCCATATGCCAACCATGTATTAAGCTAATCACATTTTTTATATATCCAATATAATTGTACATTTCATGAGATTTGTACTGCACAAAATATATGTACTCTTCAATCCAAAAAAAAATTTAAAAAAAAACCACCAAATATATGTCAGTGCAAGGTAACATTAAATCCAAATTGCCACCCAAAACATAATCCAATCACAACATTTGAAGAACTAACTTCCAATTCTTTCTTTTCCACAGGCTTCTCATTCTTTTCCACATGGTTCTCAGTCTTTTCAGATGACTGTTTGAGCCATGACCTGGTTTCATCCTCCGTGAAAGTCCCAAATAGTAGTGCTTGCAAAAGTGGGAGAAAAGTTACATATATCTCACCTTAAAAATCTACATATGGAGAAGATAGTAAGAAAACTATAAAATGCAATCTGGTATAAAGAAGGTGTGAGAAGTCTCATATCAAGTTCAGAAGCAGCCATTAGTGGAAGATTTGTAGAACTTAGAAGGTGGTGATTTTAAAGAATTCAACTGAGCTGCCACAGACACAGAGGAAGAGAGTCTTTGGATGCTTTTGATATGGGAATGGCATTGGGTTTAATTTCTTTTTTAAAATTGCTTTTGGTTTATGATTGTGTATTGATTGTGGATTCATCTTTAGCTTTATCAAGAAAAGCAAAAGCAGAGTTTATGCATAAAGATGCATCTTTAGCTTTATCAAGTTGACCATAGCACAGCCATCCAAGCCAACATTTTCACTTATATGTTTAAAAAAAATCAGTTCCAAAACATAAGACAATAAATTGATGCTTTTGCTTAAAAAGAATGTCAATCAATGTAAATAAGAAAAATGAGAAATGGTGTTACAAAACCATAATATGATTAAAGGCTGAGAATTATAGGATAACAGGAATAATATTATAGAGAAAACATACTTATTTACTGAAATCAACAACAGTTGCTCCTCGTGAGTTTATAACTGCAATGAATGTCTTGCCAGAGTTAGTAGTAGTGGTAGTATAGTAAAGGTTACCATCTCGAGCATCTAAAAATAAAAAATAAAATGTTATCATCACTCATTTAAACTAATATTCGTTTCTAGGTTTTGCCAACA